CCGCCCGGGCGGGCCCCACAGCCCGCCGGTGACCGCGACAGCCCGCCGCCGCATCGCGATTAAAGCCGGCGGAAGGGCCCCGCGGTGCTTCCGGCGCTGGCGGGGCGTGTCCGGCCGCGGCGCCTCCCGCGCTCCATGGTCCGCGCCGCTCCCAGGGTCCCTCGCGCCGCGGCCGGTAGCCGGGAGGAGCGCGGAGGCGGGCACGGGCCTGTCCGGGGCCTGTCCTGCCCCGGGCCTGGGCCTGCCCGCGCCCGCCATGGAGCAGGAGCTGCCCGAGGAGGTGGAGGGCTCGGCCGCGGCGGGTGCCGGTGCCATCACCCCGGAGGCCGGCGTGGGGGGACCGGACGCGTCAGGAGGTAACGCGCTGCGAGCACCGGGGGCCGCCCCCGCCTGTCCCCAGCCCCGGCCGGGCCCCTGCGTGTCCCCCCATGTCCCCCGCCGGCCCGCAGTGGTTCAGCCCAGCCGTACCCCCGGCCGGGCGCCCCCGCGGGGCGCCTGGAGTGGTTCGGTCCAGTCCCCCCCTGCCCGGAGAGCGCCCCCCCCGGTACCGCGTGGTTCCGTCCAACCGCCGCTTTCTCCCCCCGGAGCGGGGATGGTTCCGGCCCGGGACTCCCGAGGGGCCGGGATGGGATCGGGGAGGGGGCCGGGATGGGCTCCCCGTGTGGGGCCGGGATGGGCTCCCCGTGTGGGGCCGGGATGGGCTCCCCGTGTCCCCCTGCCCCGGCTGTCCTGGAGCGGCAGCCGCGACCCCCGGAGCACCGTGCGGGGCACAGGCCGCCCGGCTCCGGGACTGCTCCCGGTACCGATCCGGGGGGGGCTGTGGCGGGGCCCTGCTGCCCCTTCCCTGCTCGGGGCTGGGCCTCGGGCGCTCTCAGGCCCCCGGGTTGCTGTGGGGGCCCGAGCAGCGAGGGCGGGGGGTCCCCCCCGCCGGGGGGGTCCCATTTGTCAGTGGCCAGAGTGGGCTTGACCCTGGCAGCGGCTTTGGCAGGAGGTTGGGGGCTCTCGAGCGGCGGGATGGATCCGTGGGGCTGTGCCTGTGCACCTGCCCCCGCCTCTGCTGCTGCCGCCTAATTATTTCTAGTTCATTAAGAGCCTCGGGATCGCTGGCTGAGCCGAGCGCGTGATGTCCCCGCCGCTGCCGGGCTGACACGGAGCTCCGGGCACCCGCCGAGCCCGGGGGATGCTCACAGCGTTTGGCTGTGGGGTGACAGCGATCTCTGCGTCGTCAGGCCTTTAAACGAGCATCATTAGATCTTCCGAAAACAACCTCATTACGGTGGAAGCCGTGCTCGTTTCGCAGACGCCATCCCCGCACCGGGTTGATGGGGGGGGTGTGACGTGTGGTTTTGGGTGAGGCGCCGAGGTTTAGGGGGAGGGAAGCTGTCCCCGGCCGTCCCAGCAGTTCCTCATGCTGCAAGGAAACGAGGGGCTGGCAGTGTGCAGCCAACCTTCCCGAGGCTGCTCGCTGTGCTCCCACCCACCCTCTCCTCTTTTTGGGAGCATTCTCCCAGCACAGTGAAGGTTGGCTGGTGATGCCAAGGGAACCTCTTGCTGATGAGGGTCACAGAACAATTTGGGGTGAAAGGGACCTTAAGGCCCATCTTGTTCCACCCCACCTGCCATGGGCAGGGACACCAATGAACAATTAAAACATTGTCCTTCTGATTTCTCTGTCACCTTTCTGTTTCTAGGGAGGGTAGAGGGTTGTAGCTCAGGACTAGACAAGGTGTCTGTGGAGACTGTTGCTCAGCAGGGGTTTAAGCAAGGAGCGTGTGTTTTCCTTCTTCCCTGAACAAGTAAATCTGAATTTATGAACCTGTGGGCTGTCTTACCTTACGCTGATAGTAAAAAAAGATGACACAGAGCCAGTAATCTCACCGAAGCTTTGATTTCTGGAGTCAGGTTGCTTTTACTCCTTGCTTGGGTAGCATCCAAATTGTGTCACTTGGCCTCAGCCACACTTGCAGCTGGAGCTCCCGGGGGGCTGGGGACAACCTGCACGGCAGCCTGTGAGTGTTTGCTGGAGGAGAGTGAAACCCAGAGGGGTGGAGGTGGCCCCTGGCAGGGTGTGCAGAGGCACAGGTACACCTGCACGGGAGGGCTGTGCTGTGGGTCTGGGGCCGTCACTGCACTCCCTGGTCTGAACTGGGTGACAAACCCTGTTCAGCACATGCAGCACCGGTGCCTTTGCTGCTGTTTGGAGCAGCGGTGGAGGTGCTGAAGTGCTCATGACACACCTGAACAGGTGCTTCGTGCTGCTCGCCTTGTGCTCACCCCTCTGCCTGCCTGTGCTGTTGATGGAAGGTCACCAGCACAGCTGAAACCTGCTCCTGGCTGGAGAGGAGGTGGTGTGTGCTGTGCTTTTAATGGAGGTGAGGGGTTAATCCAGAGAGAGGGGTGGTGTGTGCTGTGCTCTGACTGAAAAACCTGGCAGGGTTAATCCTGACTGTGGGTCAGGTCAGCAAAGACCTTCCCCAAGCACTCAGTAAATATCGAAGGGAGCCAGTTAGTCTGGTACAGGAGCAAAATTGGATGGAGGAGAGGGGCTGAATGAGGGAAACCTTGGCAGTAGTATGACTTAAGGTACAGGGAGTGTTCTGAAGGGAACTTTTGGCAATCTCATGCTTTGAGGGACCAAACCTCACTTAGTGCCAGCAGCTGGGCTCATGTATGAACACAGAGGCCCAATTTGTCACTTTCTGAGACCTTGGCCTTGAGGTTTTAAAAAGTTTTGTGACCAGCTGTGTTTGAAAAACAAATTTCAAAAAATCAAGTGGGTGCAATGTCTGCTGTGCCTTCTCTCTGGACGTGCACCCTCATGCCCTGGGAAGTGGCTGCAGGGAGTGTAAGGGGCTGTTCCTGGGTTCTGGTGAGCTGTTGCCAGGAGCAGAGACACAGTGTGGGGCAGGGAGTTTTCAGGCTGAGGTGTCCCAACCACAGGAACAGTTGGGTGAGGAGATGGCACATCCCCATCCCCTCTACTTGGGTGCAGTTGGAGGCAGAGGGTCTGGAAACCTCCTTTTTTCCAAGGGGGGGGTCAGGTTATGGGAGAGCTGTTATTGCAAAACTGACAACAGAGCTGGTCTCCTCCATCTCCTTGCTAAAGTGGGAATTCTCAGGGTGATGGGGAGGTAAAGCTGACATTGGACTTATTTCCATTACTCAGGTCTCTTGTTACACAGGGTGCTCTCTGCCCCATCACTTGTGGCCCAGAGCTGGGGCAGATGCCTCCAACGTGTTCTTCAGGATTGGATTCCTCTGCTTTAGAGACCTGAAATGATTTAACAAGGATTTACACTTGTGTTGGACAGTTGTCTTGCTGTCCCTGGAGCTAGAGGAGCAAAGTGCAGATCCCAGCCCCAGCCAGGTGTGCTGGTGGCACCTCTGTGGCCATCTCCAAAAAGCACTGGGAGAGTGCTGATTGCAACAGCCCAGGAACGGTACTGCAGCTCTTCCCCCTTCACAGTGATAACTTTGAAGTGACTTTTGAAGGGTGGCTGGAAGCAATTTTTCCAGTGAGCAGATTAGAGATAAGAGAAGAATTCCACCCTGTGGGGCATAAGCAGTTCAATCCATACCAACGGGGATGGAGAGGGGAAATTGGAGAGAGCTTATCAGCTTGAGGAAAAATCAAATGTAAACATCATCCCCAGCATGATTATGGTTCACAGCTTAGTTTGATGTCACATGCCTGCGTGCCGTGAAATGGTGCTGGCGAGGATGATTACAGAGGGAGTCAGCCAGGCAGGAACAGGCAGAAAAACACCCCGCGCCTTGAACTCTTAAAGACCCTGCAGTTACTTCACAATCAATAAGTCGCAGCTCAGCTGCGGGGAAAGAGGAAGGCAATGGAAATAGGATTCAGGCTGCTCTGGCAAATTAATTGTTCTTTAAGATATGAATCAGCTGGAAGCACACAGGGAAGCTGGGATGATGGGCCTGGGAGCTGGGAAGGGCAGGGAGATGTGGGCACTGCCCGGAGGATGCTGAGCCCGTCGGTATCCGTGTCAGGACAGGCTGGAGAACGAGTCCCCAGGAACGCAGGGCAGGGAGTGATTAATCTAATTTTCATTAACCAGCATTTGGCACTGACCTGTATGTAACAGCCTGTTCCACCACTGCTGGGGCTGGGCCTGGCAGAGCTGCCACTGCCACGTCCCACTTGGGAGGCTCATGGGCCTCTCCAGAAGGGCTCCTCAGGGAATGACCTGAATGGATTCACTATGAACAGTGCATAATTTGGGAACTATTGAAGTGATTCACTGACATGACCATTATGGGCTCTTGCCAGATGACAATCTTAATAAATATGGTTTTCCCATATAAGGTGGTTACAGCCTGAAAAGCAGCAGCAGGAATTCCAGCACTCTCTTCCTTCATGGACACATCTTTGAGTCGGCACCAGTCGAGTCCAGAAATAGTCCTGCCACAGCTGTGATACCCTGACAAAGACTCGAGAGCCCTTCTCATCCCTTGCTGCTTCAGCTTTGTCATGTTTATTTGTTCCTATTCATCCTTTTGGGCTGCCAAGCTTATTCCCTTTACCACGATTAATCTACCACTCCTGGCAGGTGCCTCACTCCTGACATGGATGTGGTACCGTGTGCTCACTGGGACCTGCTGGCATGAGATCAGTTCAGCTGTGCATGTGGGAACTGCAGGTGTTATGTGGGGATCATTAACTTGTGACTCAAAAATCAGAAACTGTTGCACCTTTTGCGCTGCACTGTGGCATGTCAGAAGCAGAGTGGAAGTGAGAAATGTTTGCTAATCCCAGTGCAAGGGGTGTTGGCTGTGCTTAGGTGGGAGTGAACACTCAGTGCTCCCTCCAGCAGCATGGAGACAGAGCTGCTCGTGGTGTCACTGGCAGAAGATGTTCCCTCTTCCATCCTGGCTGCAGGAAAGCGGGAGCCAAAGTGGGTCCTGCCCTCCTGGATGATCTGATCCCATGGGTGCACCCTCCTGGATCCTCCCCAGAGCCTGAGGTGCCAGGGGGCTGATGGGGGCAGTGGGTATCAGAGCAGGCTGCTGGTTTTTGGACACGCTCTCTGGTTTAACACAGAGGCCTTGGCACCTCTTTTCTTAAAGATGCATGTGTAGGGAGAGGAGTGACTGTGAATGTTTGAATCATAGAATCCCAGAATGGCTTAGAAGGGAGCTCATCTCATCCCACCCCGCTGCCATGGGCAGGGACACCTTCCACTAGACCAGGTTGCTCCAAGCCCCATCCAGTCTGGCCTTGAAACTCATAAATAGCAGCAGAACAGCAGGAGATGGCTGAAGTGGGGTGTTTTCTTTCCTATTAAGTCTTTCCAAGTCTCCAGCCAAGATCTCTGATAGGCCCCTTTAATTTGTT